TCTTAATTTATGGATTTCAAATGGAAAGATAACAAAAATATTTTCATAACCTCTACATCCTAATCCCTCTCACCTATTTCTGAAAAAAAAAAAATTAAAAGTTGCCTTCCTTCTCCCTTTCCCAAAAAATCAGATAATATTTTTTATGAAAGTTGTGGATATCTATCTATATTTTATATATTATATTATAGCATAAAAAAAAACTAAAAATCAAATATACAAACAGATAAAATTAATAAATTTGATTTTTATTTATTCAGTTAAAATATTTATTTTGCCTCTCAATATCCAATTTTAACAAATCTGATTTGAAAATATCTTCCACTATTATATTTTAAATCAATAAAACTCACATATCTTTCACATATTTTATAGCGATCCCGGTTTTCCCTTTCTTTGTTTATTCTAAAGAGGGAGATCCCTCCATACACGTGTATGGAGGGATGCAATAGCAAGACAGCTGTCTAAAAATATCTGCAAAAGCAGATGAACAGCAATCGGTCGGCCAAAAATGCTATCTTGGCCAAAAGGAGTGCCGGTCGGCAACAAATAGTGCTGACCGACAACAAAGAGTGCCGGACGGCAAACTATATTGCCAGTGGCAGTAAAAACCAGCCGGTGGCCTCTAGCCACTGCCGGTGGTGGGTAGGGATGGTCTACAAGCCCTACCCTGCCTCTCAAAGGCAAGATGCAAGTGTTTGGTGCAAAACCAGACACTAAACGGTCAAGTTCGGAGATCCTGAGGCAAGGCGCGCGAGCCGAGGCCTCCGGGAACTCCAAACGAACACAAATATGGAAGATCACCGTGTGTTCAAACAGTGACGTCCAAGTCTTGAGGACGGTCAAAAATGGGGTGTCTACACGAATATGTTAAGTATGGATCAGAACTCGATTTTAGGTAGAGCTAGAGACAAGTGAATACCAAATGCAGATGGACTAATGCTTACACTAAGTGACAAAGATGTTGGACAAGGATTTGTCTCGATCTCCGAGGACAATGAAGTATTTAATGATGAGAGTTGGGAATCTGTCTATCTAGCTGATGTGCTAATTGACACTGGATATGATAATGCTGACCCTGACACTTTTGTGTCAACATGGTACTCTCCTGTTTGCCCTATGGACCCTTGTTTATTTGACAACGTTGAGGAGAAGTATTCCAATAAGACAACGTCATTGAGGTCTGAAAGGAAGCTCCTGTTTGACCGCACAAATTTCGGGCTCTTTGAAATGTTCCATCAGTTCATGGACCCACTCCTGTGGGTGAAGCAGCCAACAGGGAAGGTGGGCCTTACAAGGCAGAAACATGGGATCGGTTACAAGCTGCATAAGTTGTTGGCAAGTGAAGAGAAGAGCATGCATGAGGACGTGACAAAGAGGGTGTTGGATAGGGAGATGTAGCGGCTCGATTCTGGGGATGACGTGGACGCGAATATGTGGAGGTTGAGAAATTGTTGATGGATGACTTAATAGTGGAGGTTGCGAATATGTTAATTATGGATCAGAACTCGATTTTAGGCAGAGCTAGAGACAAGCGAATACCGAATGCAGATGGACTAATGCTTACACCAAGGTTGCGAATATGTTAAGTATGCATCAGAACTCGATTTTAGGCAGAGCTAGAGACAAGCGGATACTAAATGCAGATGGACTAATGCTTACACCAAGGTTGCGAATATGTTAAGTATGGATCAGAACTCGATTTTAGGCAGAGCTAGAGACAAGCGAATAGAATTGAACGGAATGGAATGGAGCTAGAGACAAATTCCACGCTCCCTACCTATGCTAATTTTATTATCCCGTCCAATTGACAACTAGTACCCTTAATTTTTTATTTTCTGTTTTTTGTCTTTTGTATACAATATGATCATAAAAATTATTAAATATTTTCGGATTATCATATAACATTGTCTATATTTTTTTTTTTATCTTCATATGACATTGTCTATATGATAATTAATCTCAGCAAATGAGAAAAATCACAACACACAGCCATCATTTGTCTTTTGATTGTCTAATAAAGGTATAAATCTCCATATTTCAGTCATACAATATTTTACTACATGATTAATTTAGAATATCACATAAATAATATTACATAATGTTTTGAAATTACTAAATAATTACCCTATGATCATGGTTTTTCTACCAAACTATATGTTAGGATTGAAATTTCAGCACTTCTTTAAAAAAGAAAAAGAAAAAGAAAAAGTAGCATTATATAAATGAATGTAAATCATCATGATAGTTTACACGAATCTACATTACTTGTTACCTCTTTTCTCTTCTCTATTCTATTGGATCTTGTTTGATTCTTATGATGATTTTTGTGACATGAACAATTTTATAAATTAATAAAATTTAAAGAGACAAAAAAGAAACATGTGATATTTGTTTCGTTTACCCATCAAGTGATATGAAATTAAGCTTAAGAGGTTGTTTGGGAAACTGATAAAATAAGATAAAATAAAAAATCATTAAAAAAGTTTTAAAAAATCTTATGAAAAAGTTAAAGATTCATTTCCTTCTTTTTGTACTTCTTTTTGTAAAAATTCAAAAAATTATTGTCAAACACTTTATTTTTTTCACCTCATAATTTAACAAAATTACTAAAAAAAACCATTTCCTTAACACCCTAAGTATTAATGCATATATTTATTTTTTTTCCATTCAGATAAGAGCATCTCAAACTTTTACTTAGACTTTCCATCAAATTTAAATTTGTTAAAATACGCACACTTTTGTTGCTCCAACCATGGCATCAAACCCATATCAAATGAAAGGAAAATAAAAAATTTCATCAAATTGAGGGAGGCTTCATCGTTCATCAAATTTTAACAGATAGCCGTTACTTTTGCAGAGGCTTCACCGTACACCGAATGACTGGCCGTTTGTCCTCCCGATCAACTGATTGTTTGATGAAAATTTACATAGGTCGGACGACCTCCTGGTCAACCAGTTGTTTGATAAAAATTAAAAAATTAGCATTGGAACACATAGTATCATATGAAACTTTTCATTAATTTTTTATTCAAATTTAATATTAAATTTTTTTTGAGTAAGCGTTAGAGATACTCTAATAGCTGTCTAATTGTCTAGCACATGATCTGGGTGCCCATTATCCCCCCAATACAGCCAAATGGAAAAAAGAAAAACAACTCAATGAGGACACAAAGAGGAACATACCGATACATACATGGTTATTGGAGACTGGAGAGAGAAGAGAAGATGGGTTGGTTCATCTCCAAATTACAACAACATTATTTTTATTAGAATGCCTTTAACCCAGATTGATGTTGTTATATAAATATATGAAAACAATTTTATCTTGTATTCTTGTGAGGTTATTTGATTGTCTCAAAATTATATATTTGATTATTTAAAACAACCTTTTTAATTAATTAATGTGTATTTGATTTTTTTGTTGAGCCAAATAAAATAAAATAAGATTGAATATATATTTAGCTTTGGTTGTGAACCTTGGAGAAAAAAAAAAGGTCATGTTGGGTTGGGAAAAATCCAAACGCATTAGGAGATGGAGAGGTTAGTACCCATGGGGAATGGGGAATAGGGAAAAATTATTATAAGGGAATGGGGATGGGGAATTAATATCCATCCCATTAACCCCCATTGCCATCCCTAGCGATAGAAAGGGAGAGGAGAGGAGTAGAAAACAAGAAGAGGGAGAGGGAGAGAAACGCTGAAGAGAGAGAGGCGCTAGTTTGTTTAGGGTTTGGTTTGGAAACAAAATATATATGTATATATATATGGTTATTGGTCATTTTACACAATTCGCGACTAAATATTTTGGTCGCCAATTAGTTTTATAAATCCCTTCAAAAATTTTAGTTTTTTAGCGACTAAAATTTTTTCTAGTCGCTGAAAATAAATTTTTGTCGACTAAACTTTTGGTTACCAAAGATAAAAAGTAATTTTTTATTTTTTATTCTGCGACTAAATTATTTTAGTAGCTAAAACTAACTATACAGCAACCAAAATATTTTTTAATCGCTAAAAATAAATTTTTTGTGACCAAACTTTTGGTCGCCAAAGATAAAAAGTAATTTTTTATTTTTCATTCGGCGACTAAATAATTTTAGTAGCCAAAACTAACTATACAACGACTAAAAAATAAATTTTTAGCGACCAGAAGATAAAAAAATAAATTTTTGTTTTTCATTCTGCAACTAAATAATTTTAGTTGCTAAAACTAACTATACAGCGACTAAAATATTTTTTCGTCACTAAAAATAAATATTTGGCGACCAAGCATTTGGTCGCCAAAAATAAAAAGTTAATTTTTATTTTTCATTCAGCGACTAAACAATTTTAGTAGCCAAAACTAACTATACAACGACTAAAATATTCTTTGAGTCGCCAATTGTGGCAAATTTAGCGACCAAATTTTTTTTAGTCGCCAATTGTGGTATTTTTAGCGACTAAATTTTTTTTTAGTTGCCAATAATCAATATGCCCTGACTAAAAAAATTTAGTAGCTAAATATTGTACTTTTGGCGACCAAAATATTTTTAGTCAGCAAAAGTGTATTTTCTTGTAGTGTATAGTCATAAAAAATTTAAACCATATTATGAGCACACAAGATTTGTGTGACCAACTGGTTCATGTGAATTAGACCTCGATTAGTTTGACTAATTAACCCCAAATTATTTAGTGTTTTATAATCAATACAAGTCTTTTAATTTTGTCAAGTTAAAAGAAGTTGCAATATGAAATATGAACTTCTAAAGAACCATTAAAATACCAAAAGGATGGACAAGCATGAGAGAGTATGGCCAAGAATTGGTTTCATAAAAATAAAAACAAAAGAAAAATTTTGATATACAAATAAAAATTTGTACAAAATAATGTCATAGATTTGAATTCATTCATTTCAAAAAAAAAAGAAAAAGAAAAAGGAGACCAATATTAAATTGATTTATTATTTTAAAAATGTCGTTGACATAGATAAAACGCATCAATATATGATAATGACATTTTTAAAATAATAAGTTAGGTCTTTTGGTTTAAAATCACTGATACAAATTTGCATGACATTTTTAAAATAATAAGCTGGGTCTTATAGTTTAAAATGAATTGATATAAATCTCCAAAATTATATTCTATATAAGTGATTTTTTGTTTCTTTTTTTTTTTTTTTTTTTGGTATACTCCTTATGTTTATATATTTTACAAAGAATATAGGATATCAAACAAACAACATAGTAAAATCAATTATGGATTCAAAATTTATTGATTCAGTTCCACCCATGAGCTAGTTGGTATTTCGGCTGAAAATGAACGGATAAAAAATAATACATCAATATAAATTTTTTTAAAGATCCATTTTTATATCCGAAAATGAAATTAAGAATTGACTAGATACATAGTCTAATCACATGATTTTATAGCCCAAAACAACACAATAAAACAGAATTATCATACAACTAATTTTGAAAACTTTTCTAATTTTTTTCCCCCCTTGTGTACATGACATTTCTAATTTTCAATTAATATTATTATTGGGCTGATTATCACCATATACCACATGTTTTTAGGAAGTTCTAGATGCTGAAAGGTTCTGCATTATACTCACCATACAAAGCTTAGACCAAACTGTGAAAATTTTGTTTTCAATCCAAACAAAGCCATAACAAAAATCTCTTCTCAACAAAGGCCATATGATAGGCAAATTTCGATTCACTGTTAGTGTGGTATATATTTGACCCCAATTCATTAAACAAAAACAAATTTGAATTCATACTACAAGGTCTCACTGTCATACACAAGAAGTAATGAATCACTAGTCCTTACAATTTTCAGACATGCACCGTGTCACCTTGCTCAACTCCACACACAATTTCTCCATGTGACAGCCAATGGCCTGCCGCTAGAGTTTTAATATTCGATGCATCTTTGCTCTACAAACATTCCCTTGACATTGACAACCTCCCCTAAAAACAAATCTAGATGACAGGTTTGTTTGTCTACCAAACTAAACCTAGAACAGCCAAACTAAGCAAAACATATTAGCAAACTGCAGTTTGTGGAGGGGTGTAGGGGAGAGAGAGAGTGAGAGAGAGAACTGAGCAATTACTTCCATAAATCCAAAATTCAAACACAGCCTAAAGAGTTTCATTGTTCTATGTCCAGGTACATACTGTAACAAAAAAGGAGTATAAAATAAAAAAATGGAGTAGAAAAATAATTTCGAAGTGATGGAATCTGATTTTTATGCATTAGATTGTGCAAGTCTATCTTGTACCTTCATCACTTTGAAATTATTTTTTTCTACTCTCCACTTCTTTGAAATTCACCCTAACAAAAATATCTTCCTGCAATGCACACTCTAAAAGAGTATTTTTTCATCTTAAACTGTTTGCATACCCGAAGACAAAATGTAGGGATAAAAGATTTAAGAAAAGAAAGAAACAACAGCATGCATGCATATTAAAAGGTCAGCATGCATGGCTGCTTTGTGACACACCTCCCTTCCTATTCATACATGAAAACAAAAACAATTCTCAATCAGATCACTGGTATGCTAACAAAAGAAAATAGCAGCAATATTACATAAGCAACCAAGAATGAACAAAATAATCCCTAATTCCTACACCTTTAACCGCGCGTCACTAATCTGCTATCTGCTGCACCTTCTTTTCTAACATTGATGTCCCCTTAAAAATCATCAGCTGGAGGTTCCTCGTATACTTCAATAACTGCTCAGACATGTTTATATCAGTTAGTACTGAAGCACTGGCTGTGAACATAAACATGGGACACAAATAGTACCAAAGTCGATGACCAATTAAACCATGAAAGTACCCATTTTGCCAACACCCTTTTTCAGAGTGGAAATGTAAAAAAATTTTCTTCCTTCTTAAAAGAAAAAAGAAAGAATTTATAGTAACATCTTCACTTGTATAAATATGTAGTTGTTTCAATCCTATCTCATGGCATACATGCAGTGGCGGAGCCAAGAAAAAATAGCAGCAATATTACATAAGCAACCAAGAATGAACAAAATAATCCCTAATTCCTACACCTTTAACCGCGCGTTGCTAATCTGCTATCTGCTGCACCTTCTTTTCTAACATTGATGTCCCCTTAAAAATCATCAGCTGGAGGTTCCTCGTATACTTCAATAACTGCTCAGACATGTTTATATCAGTTAGTACTGAAGCACTGGCTGTGAACATAAACATGGGACATAAATAGTACCAAAGTCGATGCCCAATTAAACCATGAAAGTACCCATTTTGCCAACACCCTTTTTCAGAGTGGAAATGTAAAAATTTTTTCTTCCTTCTTAAAAGAAAAAAGAAAGAATTTATAGTAACATCTTCACTTGTATAAATATGTAGTTGTTTCAATCCTATCTCATGGCATACATGCAGTGGCGGAGCCAAGAAATTAAATCAGAGGGAGCACTTATTAATTATAACATTGAAAATTTTTACAAAAATATTTTACATAAATTTTTATGATTGACTTCAAGAAAAATAAATATATATATATATATATTATTTGTAACTAGTATATCATGGACAATATAAAAAAAAAAAAAAAGAATCATGGATATAAGTTTTAAAATAAATTATATAATAATAAAGTAATTTTTTATACAAATTTCAGTAAAAATTCAATATAATAGTAATACCACATCATCATTGACATATGATATCACCAATCAATAGTAAAGAAACACATAGACGATGAACCCCAAATGTCAAATGTAACTAACAATTCAATGAATTTCATATCTTCATTGAAATTAATTATAATTGAATGTCAATAATGATAGATATCGCCATTGTATTGAAATTTTCATAGCTAATAATATGACTTATCGTAATATCTTTATTTTCAATAAAAAAAAAAGCAACCATTATTATTCTCATAATTTTTAAAATGTCATTAATATTTTACTCTAAATAATATTTTATAATCTTTTATTTAAAATATTTTTTTTATGTTTGCAAAAAAAAAAATTATTCCAAAACCCGGAGTTGGAAGGGGGCACATGACCTCCCTAGACCCACTATGGCTCCGCCACTGCATACATGTTATGTACCTCCTTCTGAGGCATACAAAACTGTAGAGTTGCGCATTAACTCAAAATTGAAGCAAATGTATTTTAAGGTTGACACTGTAAAGAAAGAACCTCAAAAAATGCCCGATCGGGAAAGACAAGATTTGGTAATTAACAAAATGTGATTTATTGATCACTTTGATAACTAACCCATATCATCTAAAACCACAAAATCTATGTTCTTCCCTTGCCCAATTATAAAATGGCAACGAAAAGTTCTGGCTACACACCTCTGGTCAATGCACTGACAAAAGTAACTAATATGCGGTGCCAAATACCGAGTGTAGCATAGAATGCATTCCCATTGCATTTTCAATTTTTTTTTTTTTTCAATCCCCTGCGGACTGGAGATTCTATAAGTTTAAGGTAAAAACATGGGAGAAAAAAAAAATTGAGCCATTAATTAAGTTGTAGAAGAGCATTACCCTTTCATCACTCATCTTTCTGAAACCTAATTTTTTCGTCCAGATTGATTCAGCTTCCTCAGCAACAGGGAGTACCAGATTTTCAACATTCAGGGAATACAATAGAATATCGATACATGAAAACAATGCTTGGAAATATCCCTACAGATAAAAAAAATCATCAACAAAAAAAAAGGAAGGAATAACTCCGGCTGCAAAGAAGGGGAAAAAATCAATAAATAAAGAAAATTAAAAAACAAAAGAAAAACTTACTTTTCCTTGATTCTCTCTACTTGTAGCCACTAGAGGAAGCTCAGCAACCTCACGTCCAAAAATCCTCAGAAGACCAGCCGATACAACAACTGACCTGTGCATGACATTTTGGAATCCAATGATTAAAAAATAATAAGAATATAAAACTACTAACAACCATTAACAAAAATGAAAATGAGAATGTAAAGTAAATTAATAAAACATGCAGAAACAACTTTAATGTGAAGCAACTTACTTTACGATTAAAACGACACAGTACATTCCACCAAATTCTTGCCCAGATATATTTCTCCTGCATTAAGTACAACAAAGGGAATTTTAAACAGGTTTAGTAGATTAACCAAAAACATAAAGATCAATAAGAAGTCAGGAAAATTTAACTAGTGAAGCAAACAATCTACTTACATAGCGCCCTTTTTCTCCTTGTTTTTCCGTTCTCAAATTTCATTAAATAAATCCAATCCTTTTCTCCTAATTGAACCTTATGGTCAATCTTTGAAAAGCACATAATGTAAGTTGAACAATTCTAGGACATAAAATAGAGGTTCGTTTGTAAGCAAAATTCATATTTTCCTCCTGCAAAATGCATTCTTTTAATAATGTATTCTTGATTAATGTAGTCACAAGTATTTGTGGACAACCTACAAAATAACTTCATTTCACACCAATTCATTAATAGAGGGAAATGATGAAATTTTCCTCAGAAAGCTCTTAAATTTCTTCCATATGGCATAAGTTTTGGTAGATACCCTTCAGATGAAGAGCTACTTAAGCACAATGTACAATGATAACATACCCATAGACCATAACAGGTATAAGATCACAACCAGAAGTTGCAACAATAGGATCAAAACATTCCTGCCAAAGATGAGACATACAAATAGATTTAACCCCCCAAGTAATAAAAGAAAGTATAACATAACAAAAAGGAGTATCTTTATACAACTGCTGTCAGAAGGACTATACAACAAAAGAAAAAAGAGTCAAAATCAAAACCATTTTTGGACAAAGATACATTTAAGATATAGCATAGAGAATCAATATTAACCAAATGCCCCGAAGAGGTCCTAGCCCCTAGATCTGTTTCTTCTAGTACATAATATTACATTATGTTGCTAAAGAGAAGTAACCGAGAAGTAGCACTAGAATAGATAAGAACAAAATTAGACAGGCTTTTACAAATTTTAAAAATCACATTTTGCTATTCTACATGGTAGCAGCAAAAACTTACTCGAAAAATTGTAGCAGCCCTAGACAGTATTGGCAAATGTTCTGGATAGCGACTTTTCCCACTTAAAATCCACCATTGAACATCATTTGAAACTCCATTTGTGAATCCTTTCTCAACATGTTTTCTGTGTATTGCATATGACACTGAAGCTGGAATCATCTCCGCACCAACTAAAACTAAATTTTGTAGTGCCACATGGATCCTATTGCAGTCATCACAACAAAACCACTTATCCCTGGGCAGTTCCTGCACCAAATATGAGAAACTATACTGAGTCGCTAAATAAATACATGTTGAAAGCATTACAAAGATTTTGAAACTTACTTTTAAATCACAAAGGCCACTGTCACGCAAGCAGCCAACATGGTACTCCTTCTCACACTAAACAGCAATAAACAGTTAGATTTAGATAATTAAAAAGAACACACATATGGTAAAATATACAAGGGAAAATGCAAGCCCTACTTGGTCACAAAGCATAATTGTTCGTTCATCAAAATTTTCAACACTAAAATCGTGAGCCTTGTAAAGATAACAAACAAAATTAGTCTTACTAACAACACAGAAGTGGACATGACTTAATGAAAGGGCATAGATGGAGAGAATTGGGATAATTAATTTTCTGGAGGGAATAAATAAGCATATGGGTTAATGAAATAATAGCGAATAATTTTGAAAGTGACACAATTTGATGCTGTGTATAGCATGAAATTTCTATATTGGTATAAATTTTTTGGACTTTTACTGTTAAACTGCAAGTTAAAAGCAAAGGGGCTCCTGGCCTTCAAAACCTAAAATGGCCTTCTGAGTAAAGCCATGTTCAACCTTTGGGTTAAATGAAACTATTGGTTTCTAAATTTCTAATCATTACCATCGATTCTACATGGCCTTCTGAGTAAAGCCATGTTCAACCTTTGGGTAAATAAAACTATTGGTTTCTAAATTTCTAATCATTACCATCGATTCTACATGGCCTTCTGAGTAAAGCCATGTTCAATTTTTGGGTAAAATGAAAATATTGGTTTCTAAATTTCTAATCATTACCATCGATTCTACTGCGACCAGTTTCACTTTTACTATTATTCCTTCATTCTCGGAATAGCCAAAATGACAAAAATATTCAAGAATTAAGAGTTCTTGTCATAGATTGCGACTTTGAAACCAATAAGTTTAGTCCTTCTAGCAGCGATACACAAGTGAAGAAACTGTCAAAAACAGAATAAGTGCATACCAAATGACATAATATGAAAGGAGAAAAGATTAAAAAATAAAAAATAAAAAATAGCTGGCCTGCACCAACCCAAACTTCTTGTGAGTTCAAAACCATAAATGAGACTATAAATAAAGAGATAACAATTAAAAGGAGCTGACATGAGATAAAAACCCATTTAGACAGCACTGACACAACGATGACGAAGCTCCCGGATTGGAGAAAAGATTAAAAAATAAAAAATAAAAAATAGCTGGCCTGCACCAACCCAAACTTCTTGTGAGTTCAAAACCATAAATGAGACTATAAATAAAGAGATAACAATTAAAAGGAGCTGACATGAGATAAAAACCCATTTAGACAGCACTGACACAACAATCTGACCCTGATAAACATGGAACTATACTAATAATTAAATGTGTATATATTTAACAAATCAATGAACCTCAAGGAAAATATAAGATCGTGACCTTTTGATCAACACTCTTGAAAGAGCCCATCATACATAAAACTGCTATTTGGGTTCTCAGGATTAGAGCAATGTATAAAATCCATAGAAGAAGTAATTAATTTCTTCATTATAAGAGAACTTTAACCAAAATTTTATTGAATGACTACACTTAACCAACCTGCAAACAACGCAACCACCTATTTCAATTTTTAGGGCCTTAACAACTCGTGTCAACCGAATTATAATATGTCCTCCCGTATTTGAGGACTCTCCAGCAGATTTTCGTCCAAAACCAACTTTATCTCTACAATATGGGCAGTGCCAGTCACCTTTAGGTGCACACTGTAAATCCAAACAAACTGAAAGAAGCCACAAGACAGTGGGAAAAAGGAAGAGCAAAAAAAAATTGATAAGTATTTATATAACAGAAGAAAAACAATGAAAATGTATATCAGGTTAAACATAAGTTAGATACGCTTAAATATACTAGCTTATTTGAGTGTAGGTGTAGCAACCCTCACCTTACTCTTGTCATACTTGCATACATTCATGCATGATCTTGTCTTGTTATGCTGTTTTGCAAGTTTTGTCTTGCCTTGTTTTGTTTAAGTGTTGCTTGCATGATTTTGTTCCTTGCTTGGCGTGTAGCCGAGGTCATCTTGAGTTTAGTTCACCTTTGAACCTTTGTGTTTAGAACTGTTTTGGAACCACCTGGTCAGCAACATCTTCACCTCGGGCTTTGTTTGCCGAGATGTTTTGCACTTAGTGATCCTTGTCCTTGGGCAGGTATGGCCTAGACCGAGGTGTGGCACACCCCGGCCAAGGTGTGGCATAGCTTAGTCAAGTGTCGTCCTCCCTAGCTGATGTCTTTGTTACCTAGTTGCCGAAGCTTTGACTTTAGCCGATGTCATTACTTGCTGATGTGTCTTGCCTTAGCTTGCTGTATACGCTTTGTCATAGACTTGTCTTATCAATCAATCACATTTTGAGTTGAACCAACCCGATAGCGCCACATGTCCGAGCTGAAGGTTAAGACAGCCGGCAGACCTAGAAACAAATCATTTTTGTCTCAAATCTTTGCCTTTAGAGAGAGAGGAGGAGAAGTTCTTGAGTGAGAATAGATCTTCCAAGCTTGATCTTCGAGGTTTGAACCGTTGGATTCGAGTTTTGAGGTTAGAGTCTTAACCTACTCTTGTTGTTCTTTTGGATCATCTAGCTGCATTGCATGATCGAATCTGTTTTGCATGTCATGCATCGATCTGAAGTTGTTTTGAGAGGAAAATATATCCATGGTTCTTGAAGAAAAGTCTCGTTTTGATCCGAAGTTTGGAACCAGAACCATGTTTTTGGTTTGTTCTTGCATGACCTTCTTGTATGGGTACCCAAGTCCATGTTTTGAACTCATGGCATGAAATCTCAGATTTTTGTAACAAGTTGTGATCTTGCATTCATTTTTCCTCATGATCATGTTCATCATGTTCTTCATGTTCTTCAAGGGAAACCCAGGTTCCGACTTTGTTTTTGAATGAGGCAATCAGGACCACACCCGGCAAGGAGGTGTAGGACCTCGCAAGAAAAAACCTGGTTGGTACCAGTGTTTTTCATGAGACGGAGCAGTGTTAAACTCCCAGCTGTTTTCCTTTGTTATTGACGTGGATTTGGTGAGATGCCGAGATCATTTGCATGCATTATAAAGCTTGTTTGAGATCGTGATTGCCATGTGATTGTAGGTCCTTGATCTTGTGCTTTGAGCCTAACACCGAGGAGATCTATGTGAGTGGTGCTTTTAATAAAGCTATGTTATACTGTTTTGATAAATCTTGCTTTGCTTTGTTTTGACGAAAGTATTGTTAAGCATGAATGAATAGCCCTGTTTGAAGTATAAGCCTTGTTTGATTCATTCTTGAAAGTCCCTTGTGCTGGAGGACTCTAAACTTTCGCGAGCACTAAGTATAAAAGATACGGTCCTTCTTGGAAAGACTATCGTGTTAAAGCGGGCTACGGGCCTAAGTAACACAAGACTACGTGTTAAAGCGGGCTACGGGCCTAAGTAAACATAAGACCATCGTGTTAAAAAGACTACGGGCTAAGTAACACAAGTCCCTTGGCTGGGAGACTATAAACTTTGCCCAGTACTTTTGACTAATCGATACGGATCGTGCAATCCTGTTTTGCCACTGACGGTTTACCCGCGTGGACTTGTTTGTTCGGAAAGCTTGATTTGTGTTTTTGCCGATGTCAGTAAGCATCCCTCGAACTTGTAAGACGTTGATAGATAAATACGGTTCATCCCTTGTTTTGATAAAGTTTTGATGTGTTTTGCTTGGAAAGGATCTCGGCTAATATCCGTAAGGTTTGGCATATTGTTTGGAAAAGACTTCGGCTATATTCATGCAAAACCTTTATACTTGTACCATTCACTGAGATATCCAAGCTCACCCCTCTCTATATATATGTAGGTATGAGCAGGACAGGCGGCGACGCGCCTAGATGTTTTTTGAAAGACTGTTTTGGATCCTTGATTTTTGGTCCGCTTTGTTTTGTATTCACGTTGGCGAATCTGAAAATCTTGCTTCTTGCTTGTATTCACTATATTTTGTATATGTCCGCTCGAGAAGCCTTTTGATCAAGATGTAATACGTATCTTGCTTTGTTGTATTCAAGTTGTAGAGATGTATGCCATTACATTTGATCTATGCAATGCTCTTATGGACCACTGGCATTTTGATTTATTGCTTCCGCATTTGTGAGCCCCGTTTATTATACTCTGATTGTGTTAAACTCTTGAAAGTTGGCCTTCGGTAATCTTGGATTACTGGCCATCACGGAACCAAACTACTAGGGGCGGTTTGGGGTCGTGACAGAATGGTATCAGAGCACAAGTTCCTCAGTATACGTTATTCACACACTTTGAGTCCTAAAGAGCATAGGATTTCCCTTAGAAAGATGTTAGGATTGTATCGTGGTGTTTGCTATTTGAAAGAGGTGTGCATTGTCTTGACAACCTATTTGTTACTTGCCTACGTGGTTATTTGCTTATTTGTTTAAAGTCACACTTTACATGCTCATAGCATCATGAGAAGAGGTAGACCTCCACTTGGTCGGGATCAGCCCGAAGACAGATTGGACAGATTGGAAAGATTAGTGGAAGGTTTGGCCCGCGAGTTGAGGCAAACAAGACAGCAGTACGCTAGTGCTACGTCGACTCAGGCCGAGCAGACCAACGGCCGAAATGTAGTTCCGCCTCCACCTCCTCCAGTGCCGCAAGTTCCTCCGCAGCCAGCCTTATATGGGGATGGCACAATATCTTTGATCAGGGAGTTCAAGAAAATGAAACCACCGACGAGTTGAGGCAAACAAGACAGCAGTACGCTAGTGCTACGTCGACTCAGGCCGAGCAGACCAACGGCCGAAATGTAGTTCCGCCTCCACCTCCTCCAGTGCCGCAAGTTCCTCCGCAGCCAGCCTTATATGGGGATGGCCAATATCTTTGATCAGGGAGTTCAAGAAAATGAAACCATCGAGATTCTCTGGGGGTATAGAGCCAATGAAGGCTGAGGCGCAGGTTTTGGAAATGGAAAAGTTGTTCGAGATCTTTCCTAGCACCGACACTCAGAAGGTGACGTTGGCAGCATTCACCTTAGATGATGACGCTCGCAGATGGTGGATGATGGTTCGAGAAAGCAATCCAGATCTGAGCTGGACCCGATTCTTAGAGTTGTTCTACAACAAACACTTTCCCCTAAGTGTTCGAAACCGCAAGGCTACCGAATTCCAGACTTTGACGCAAGGCAACCGAACAGTGGCAGAATACGACCACGTTTTTACTGAGTTGGCGAGGTTTGCACCTCACATGGCCAATGATGAATACATGAAGGCCAGAATGTTCGAGAGTGGGCTTCGCGGACCGATTCAAGACCGGGTTAACTTGCATAATATGCCGACTTATGCCGAAGTGTTGGACAAAGCCATTCTGGCTTAAGCTAACCTAAATCGATACTAGAGCTCGGGGGAGAGCCAGCGGAAGAGACAAAACTATGACAATCGCCGAGCACAGCTAGGCACCAAGAAGAAGACGAACATGGGCAGTGCTGGTAACCTAAGGCAGGAAGGTAATGCTAAACCGACGTGTTCGGATTGTGGAAAGAAACATTTCGGGGTCTGTCGTCGGACGTCTAGAGCTTGTTATGAATGTGGCGAAATGGGTCATTATGTGAAAGATTGCCCTAAGACAAAGGCTGATAACAACAAGAAATGTGAGAATACCTTGGGTTCCGTTCAGAAGGGTAATGTTGGAAAAGGGCAGATGAGACAGGGCAGAGTATTTGCACTAGTGCCAGGGGACACTCAGAATGCTGAGACAGTGGTGTCAGGTATACTCCTAATTTGCTCCCAAAATGCCTATGTGTTGATTGATTCGGGTTCTACGCATTCGTTTGTATCTGCTAAGTTTGCCGAGAAAATTAATAGAGAACTAGAGCCCCTTGATTATGTATTATCCGTGTCTACTCTATCTGGGAGATCTATGATTGTTGCGTCCATTTATAGAGCATGTGTTGTTGTGATAGAGAATGTTGAATTGCTAGTAGATTTAATGCCTCTGGACATAACTCATTTTGACGTTATACTGGGAATGGATTGGTTAGCCGCGAATCATGCTTCTATTAATTGTGTTTCGAAAAGTGTCACACTGAAACCCTCAAACCTAGCCGAGGTTATTTTCCAGGGTAAAGGGATAGTGCCCCCACCTTACTTGATTTTGTCCATTAAAGCCTATAAGTTAATTCAGAAAGGGTGTCGAGGCTACTTGTGTAGTATACTGAGCGATCAGAATGAAAATGTTAATTTAGCCAACATCCCAGTTGCTAGTGAATTCCCTGACGTCTTCCCAAACGAATTGCCTGGCCACTTAGCCGATAGAGAGATAGAGTTTACTGTTGATATCATGCCGGGAACATAGCCGATCTCCAAAACACCCTACAGGATGGCCCCAGCTGAACTTAGGGAATTGAAACTGCAATTACAAGAACTGTTAGATAAGGGATTTATTAGGCCGAGCACATCACCATGGGGAGCACCTGTTTTATTTGTTAAGAAAAAAAAAGATGGCACACTCCGTCTTTGTATCGATTATAAAGAACTTAACAAGGTCACTATCAAGAACAAGTACCCATTACCTAGGATTGACCATTTGCTTGACCAATTACAAGGAGCACGAGTCTTTTCTAAGATTGACCTTAGGTCTGGTTACCACCAGCTTAAAGTTAAAGCCGAAGATGTTGAGAAGACTGCTTTTCGGACAAGATATGGCCACTACGAGTTTTTAGTAATGCCTTTTGGGGTGACCAATGCCCCTGCT